TGTGCTCTGTTAACCTTAGGCCAGGGGGTGCCCTGGGCTGGCCCTTAGGTGTCACAGATCCACAGGTGAGATTTGGTCATAAAGGTTGGCAGCATCACCGGAGAAGCCACCACAGACAGACAAGGTCTGAGCCAAGAACAGAGAAACCCAGCCCCACTCTTAGGAAAAGAGAAAAGCTCTGTGAATCAAAATCAACTTCACATCATCAGGGGTTCCTCTGGTGAAGGTCATTGTGCTCTGTGGCACAGAGCAGAGATGTCTCACCCATCCCTAGAATTTGTGGTCATTTGTGTCCCACATTGCCCATGGTCCATGCAGCACTGGATATCTGGCTTGCTCACTGGTGCTTTAGACACAGACAAAAGGATCTTTGTAGGACCAGCTTTGTCTGATTGCAAGTTTATAATTTATTTCTGTGTTTTGCCCTCTGGCTCTTTACCGGTCTCATGCATCAGGAAAGTGTCTGTCCACTTAGAGTCTGATGTATTTCTTATTGTCACAGCACACTGACACATAATCATTCAGCACTGTGAGGAATTGCTGCTGCCAATTCCACCCCAGTTTAGGTGGGCACAGCTGGTTGTCCTTTGTTACTGATTTATCACATTTGCCCAGCCTGGCACTGTGCACTCAGCCTTGTTCTCATCATCAAAAGCCCAGAAGTAAAACCACTTATATTTTTACACATATTTTTACACCTGGCTGCATGCCACAGTTTGTTGTGAGTTCAGCACATCCTCATCTCACCAGGGGCTCAGTGCTCACTTGTTTGTCCCCTGATCTGCCCCCACAAAGCCCAAGAACTCCCTAAGCCTCTTCTCAAGATCCTTGTGCCTGTGGGTCTGCCCTCAGTCTAAGCAAACTGAGCAGCAATTGAGCACCAGCCTTCCCATTTAGCTTGCCCCCCTTTCAGATATAACAATAGCATTTTATTCCAGTTATCCCCAGTTTATGACCCACTTATGGCCCAACCTGACTTACAAAATATTAGGGGAAATAATAGGGGGAAAAAACAAAAAAAAAAAAAAAAAAGAGGGAAGGGTTGAGTGTTGGTTTTGCAGTGTTGGTGTTGGCCATTGCAGTGACCCAGTTCCAACCACAGCTGGCCCTGCTGGAGCAGCACAGTGAGGGCTCAGGCAAGTCCTGGCTTGGAAAACAAGCAGGTGAGGAGAGGAGGAATGGAAAGGAGAGTGTGGAATACAAGAGGAGGCAGAACAAGCCTCATTGCAAAGCTCCAGCTACATCAAGAAGCTCCTGACACAGGACAAAACCTACTGAACAAGCACAAAGTGAAATCAGCTGTTAATCCAAATGGCAAATACACAGAATATGCATGAAGAGTAAACCATCAGGTGTGCACAGAAAAACAAATGGTAGTTTCAGGTCTTTTTGAAATGCCTCAGTATTTTTCATTGAGAATACAAGATTTGTGATGTGCAAGTTAAGAATTAACTCTAAAACAGTCCTTTAAAAGATTAAGAAGGAAGTACAAAAATAATCAAAGGATGTGGTGAAGGTCAAAGTTGAGAAGAACTGCAGAAGAAATTGACTTCTCCCATTCAAGGCTAAAACTAACCACAGAGTACAAGATCAGACTGGTTCAAGTAACCACAGCATCAACAAAATCAGGCTTTGGGTGAGAGGCATAGATAATTCTCTGTCCAGTGTTGGAGTCCAGAGATATCTATTTTCTGTATTCATCTTTATATTGGAGTTTAAAATACCAGCCTTGCCCCATGAGAAATGGAACTTTGGTGCTGATCTTGCACACATTTAGGTTTATGTTTTAAATATTAGCTATATGTTTTTCTTTGCAGTAATACTTGTGATACCTTTTTTTTTTAATTATAATTTCTGGTCTTTATTCCATAGTTAGTATTTTCTTTAAAGTTCTTTTAAAACTGCTTTGAAGGTTATTGCAGCAGAACCTTCAAACTCCACCGATCTCTATCAGATTTGGGTGGGGGAAGAGGAAGGATCAGTATTTTTAGTGTTTCTGCAGCAATCCCATACCTTGATTCTGCAAAAGCAGGCATTTACAATCACTGTTTTCTCACCCAAACTAACTCTGACTTCTGAAGCTCACACTGGAGCAGGAGTGACCAAGACAGGCTATTTTCTTGCAAAGCTTGATGTCCTCCAGAGCAGGCACACCAATTTTCTGGAATTTAACTCAGTTGATTTGGTTCCTCTTGTATTTGTGACCACAGAAATTATCAAAGGAAAACCTAGTAAATTAATTTTTTTTAACCTAGTAAATTAAAGACAAGAATTAGCCAAAATACAACACCCTTGAAAACTGGCCATGAAGTTCCTGAGCCTTGGCTGGCCAGCAGCTGCTGCCTCTCTAGGAAAGGACAGCGATTCCTCATGTCCTGCACATCATGTTTCTTTCCAAAGCAGAAAAATATGATAATCACAAGAGAAGCAAAACAGCCAATATCTTCATTTCACAGCTTGTATATCCAAAAATCAAATTGTTTGTTTCCTCTGTTTACATTGACAGCTTTTCCCCTCTGCTCCAACAGTAACTCTTGTAAAGCATGAAAACCAGTTGCACCAGTGCAGAGCAGTGCAGTGTCACCAGGTACCACACATTAAAACAAATTGCCTTCTCCCAGACCTCAGGTGCCTGGGAGCACCAGCTCTCTGAATAAACTCCAGTCAGAAGGTGTATCCTTACTCCAGGCAGCTCACATCCCTTCCCACTGCTTCAAACTGTATCTCAGCACCTCATGCTGAGGGCAGGACTGGGAGCACCACTTTGCTGAAAAAGATTTGCAGTTATTCCAAACAGACAAAGGTTTGGCATCTTTGGAGGTGTCCCAGTCCAGGGACAGATTTTGAAAACAGCATTGATTTGTGAAGGGACTCTGAGCCACAGACTTGTAACCAACAGCTGGTTCAGGTTTACCAGCTGAAGCACAATTTTGCGGAGAGAGCCTGGTCTAAGAAAATATAAAAAAAAAAAAAAAATAAAAATATTTATCCAACAAAATGTAATTATGAGTTGTCACCTGTCCGAGTAATCAAACAAGCCATTTGCTAAGAGTTTATGAACAAGAATCATGAAAGAATGAAGTAGGCAGTTCTAGTGTCTCCTCAAGGAATGAGCAGCACAGAGTAGAGAAGAAAAGCAACCACAGGCTCACAGACCTTTCCCAATCTATTTGGAGTGCCATGTGCCAGCTGCTCTGTGCCCCTGGAAACACACATTGCTGATCTCTCAGCTCAGAGCAGGATTTCAGAGCAGGAGAGCACAGAGTCTGTCCCGGTTCCTGCAGGGAAGATGAAGACATTACACACAGCACAAGGTCAGCCAGCACTCTCCAGGCTGTGTCAGAGCAGCACAGGGAAAGCTCTCTGGGCCAGGCAGGTGTCTGAACACAAGAGACACTTAAACCATCAGCCCCAAGATCAGTGTCTCTGCTGTCACACAGCTGAGTACAATGTACAGCCCTCTTGCCCATCACCTGACAGCACAATCTCTGCTAAAACCAACATTTTAAGACACTTCACATTCAGATCTGCATCTTGCAGATAAAGCAGGAGCATCTTTGAAGCACTGGTTAACTTGAAAGCCACTCAGCAATTGCACAGGAAGGTGATCTTCAGCTTTATTGTGCCCCACCATGGAAAATGAACATGTGGGTTATAAAAACAATTCACTCATGAGGCATCTGTACTTATAGGAAGTGAAATACAGTCATTTGTGTCCTACATCTGTGCCAGGCCTATTGATAAACCTCCCCTGACAGGATGAAACAATGCTCCTGTAAAGGCATCCTTAACCTAATATGCCTCTACAGCACCAGGCTGGACTAGGTTTGAAAAACAGCCTCTTATAATACTCAGATGAATTTAGCACTTAAGAAGATTAATGGATTCATAAATAGCCTGGAAATCCAAACTCATTGAATTTAGTTCACGGAACAGGTCAAATAGGCATTTATCAAACCATCTGGCATTTTGATTCCCTGGGGAAACTGTGGTCGAGCTACAGATAACTGAGAAGCCATTGCAAGCTTGGTTTTCCCTGGACTCAGCTTTCCTCTGGAAATCTCTGGCACTAATTAGAAAGCAGTAGATCTTTTTGGACAGAAATGGATCTCTATATAGTCACTTATATTTTCAAGTGTTGCTGCTTAACACAAACATAAGCACAGTCAGGCTCTAAGTGAAAGTACTTATGTTGCAATAAATAGCTTGCCATTTTCTCTAGGCCATGAAAGGACACTCATGTGCACCCATTTGAGTAGCCTACAAAAAAAATCACCAGAGTTGTTCAAGGATCTCAAAAAAACCCCAAAACCTAGGTTTGAGCAGTTAATTTATTTTTGTGAGTAAAATATCAAATTATTTTATTAATATGCTTTGATACATAAAACATCATTTTTTTCTGGTCATATTAGCAGCTGGTATTGAGAAGTTCAAAGATAAAACACTTAAGATGTTGTATAAAAGAAAATTATCAATATGGCATAATATGAAACACTACAAGATACATATTAGTGGTGGAAATACAAAATATTTCATAGGGCCTGGTTGCATTCGTCATCACCATGCTCTGCTCCTGCTGCCATGCCATGAAACAATCTACAAATTTAAAAATAAGTATTCCTTGAAACAATATATTCACTGAAAAATTAAACACATTGAAATTATTTGAATAAGTAGGTTAAGTAGCTTTGCCTCAGAGAAGAATGTTTGGACAAACACGGGTCCATCTGGCTCTCCTGTGCCAGTATCAGAATAACAGGGGGGGAGAAAGGATCAAAATCCTGCCTGTGGTCACAGCCAAAATACTGTGCCCATTCCAGGTGTGCCTGGGGCAGGTGTCCCCCCAGGCACTTTCCTTGTTTCCATGAGGCCTGTACGTGTTCCCTGGATGTCTCCATGAGGCCTGTACATGTTCCCTGGATGTTTCCATGAGGCCTGTACGTGTTCCCTGGATGTCTCCATGAGGCCTGTACATGTTTCCTGCGGCATCCCTGGATGCCTGTACGTGTTCCCTGGATGTTTCCATGAGGCCTGTACGTGTTCCCTGGAGGTTTCCATGAGGCCTGTACGTGTTCCCTGGATGTCTCCATGAGGCCTGTACGTGTTCCCTGGATGTCTCCATGAGGCCTGTACATGTTCCCTGGATGTTTCCATGAGGCCTGTACATGTTCCCTGGATGTCTCCATGAGGCCTGTACATGTTTCCTGCGGCATCCCTGGATGTTGTCCAGGACTGCCCTGCTCCCTCCTGCACCCACTGGGGGAAATCAGGAATAATTTCCTGTTGTTCAGCAGCATCTGCTGTGGGTGTGGGTGTCTGTCAGGACGTGAAGAGGGGCCCAGTTTTGCAGCCTCATCTTGCTCTCACGAAGCTGAGTCACCATGGAACATCTTGCTCTCTCAAGCTGGCCTGATGGGACAAACACCCCACAGATAGAGCCCTCTTCCCTCCTTTCCCAGCAGAACATCACACATCTCCAGGCACAATCATAGTGCTGCTCATCTCCCTGTGGGTAGCCAGGAGCCTCTGGGACACCCACAGGGCAGGTTTGTCACCCAGAGTGGGACCCGGATCCCACCAGCTCCCAGGGGAATCTGGAGCCAGATCCAACAAACCCAGCCTGGAAGAGTTTGGAGCCCTTTACATATCAGAGGCCCACAATAAAACTTTTCTCTGATGACTAAGTAGGTGCAGGGTCTAAACACTTGAGCAGAACCCCTGCTCCATCCAGCCCTTGGACTATTTGCACAGCAGAACAATCGCTGTCAAAAGTGCTGGGGGGTACAAGGAAGAGGAGTCAGCCTCAGTTCTGTCCTCCCCCACGCCGGAAGAAACCCCTTCAGTCTGTCCGTCCGGCTGCGTGCTGTTACTGTACACTTCAGTGGCATTTGCCACCTCTTCGGGAAGGCCCATCTGGAGCAGGAGTTTGGAGATAAGGCTGTTGAACTTGCTCTCCGTGGTGGACCAAGGCTCCTCGCTTGCGGTCGGCCGCTCGGACGTGACGTTCAGCTCCTCCGGGTCGAGACAGTAACCTTCGGGAGACCTCTCGAAGAGCACGTCCGTCAGATCAACCCCAGCCACGGAGGAGGGGGAGGCACACGGAATATCCCTGACCAGCCTGTAGTTCTCCATCCACTCCTTGAGCCACTCGATGCGGCAGTCGCATTCCCAGGGGTTGCGGAAGAGGTACAGCCGCCCCAGGAAGTACACGGGCTCGAACACGGAGAAGGGCAGCGTAGTCAGGTTGTTGCTGTTCAAGTGCAGGGCCACCAGGCTGGTGAGGTTCTCAAAAGCCCCTTCCTCGATGTAGCTGATCCTGTTGCGGTCCAGGTAGAGGAACTCCAGCTCCCCCAAGTCCCGGAACCAGGTGTTGGAAATGTTCCTGAGAAAATTCCCCCCCAGGTTGAGCATCTTCAGGCGCCTCAGGCCATCAAAAGAGTTTTCTGGAAGCTCACTGATCAAGTTGTCATTCAGGTACAGGTACTCCATCCTCTGACAGCCCTGAAAAGCTCGCTCGTGGATGACATTTATCTTGTTGTCCTGCAGATTCAGGTATTTCAGCTTGGTCAGGCCCTGCAGGGAGTTATAGGCCACCGCTTCGATCCTATTTCTCTCCAGGTACACATGGGTCAAGTTCTCCATGCCCCTGATGGCACCCGGGATCCTTCGGAAGTTGTTCTGGAAGCAGAACAGCTCCTGCAGAGCAGGCAGCTCGATGAAGATCCTGTCTGGGATGTTGAAGAGGTTGCAGTCGGCCAGGTCCAGCCTCACGAGGCGCCGGAGCGCGGTGAAGGTCCGAGTGTGGAGATAGCGAATGTACTCGTTGTGGGCCATCTTCAGCTCCGTCAGGCTGGGCAGCCCCTTGAACGCGCCCGGCGTGATGAAGGAGATGTTGTTGTGGTTGAGTGACAGGGATTTGAGGGAAGGCAGCGTCCCGAAGGCCCTCTCAGACAGGAACTTGATGCTGTTTTTATCCAGGTTGATGGAGGAGGCTTCGCAGGGGAACTCGCTGGGGATCTGCCCCAGCCCGGCGCGGTCACAGAGTACGGAGCAGCTCCTCTCTGGGGTGCACACGCAGCTGGGAGGGCAGGAGCGCACGCAGGCCCACACCCCATGCACCTGTGGGACCCAAAGGATCACTGCCATCCCCACAGAGGCAGGGCAGGAGAGAAAAGAATGCATCGTTAGCAAATTAATTAGTCAGAGCAGCAAAAAGAAACTGCACTCTCTTTTCCTCCCCTTTAGCCCAGCTAATTGCCACCTGTACACCAGTGCTGACTGAGGAGCTCTTGTGTAAAATTCCTAAAGATCTTCTGGACTTTCTAAACCTGCTGAGGATGTATGTCACCTAGAACATAACCTCTGATTAATTCCTCTCCCCAGGAGGGGGCTCACCTGGAATTCAGTGTTTCTCAAGTGTCTCTTTTGGGCTCTCTCTGCTGCCTGATGGGGACATGGTCTGGCCAGGGAGCAGGCAGAAATGCATTGAAGGACAGCAGCTGTGGGTGGGTTGCAGCATTCCTGGGTGTGAAAAGGGGATGGCAGTATATCCTGAGTCTGACAATGGGCAGGGGAGATCAATTAATTGCCCAAAATGTGTCCTTCCTTCCTTCCTTCCTTCCTTTTCTTTTCTTTCTTTTCTTTCTTTCTCCACCAGAGCCATGAGCTGGTGCAGCACTGGAAGGGGAACTCAGCTCTTAAGGAGATTAAATGCAGTGTTTGAAAACACATTCCCACTGTGTACTGCTATGACAGCGTGAGTGAAAACAAACTAAGATATTGTTCAACTGCTGGCTTCATGATCTCATCATAGATGAGAAACTCTGCATTTCCAGCACAGTTTTTGCTGCTTTGCCAATTCTCAAAAGTCACCATAGTGCCTTATGTTTGATGGGAGCAGCCACTTTGTCCTTTATCAGCCTGACATGGGAGGTTGTTTCCCCCCAGCTTAGTCCCACACACGTGGGTGAACAACAAGGAAGAGAAGAAGACTCTTGGGAGAAATGAGAGAAGAGCAAAAACGAGCAAAAGGACTCAGAGACATCAGCCTCCACAGACAGGATTTTTGCAGGGAAAAAACATCCAGTCAAAAAAAAAAAATCTGAAAACAGATTTTTTTTACTGCTAAATGCTTTTCCCCTCTGAAAGAGAGAAAAAATTAGGTTAGATATATGGAAGAAATTCTTTACAGTGAGGGTGGTGAGGCATTGGCACAGGACACCCAGAGAAGCTGTGGATGCCCCAACCCTGGCAGTGCTCAAGGCCAGGCTGGATGAACCTCTGAGAAACCTGGTCTAGTGAAGGTGTCCCTGCTCGTGACAGGGGGCTTGGAATGACATGATCTTTTAGGTCCCTTCCTTTCTCTGATTCCATGAATATAAACTCATTAGAGAGGAAGACCTGAAGGCAGTTTTCCTAATTGCTCTCCCAGACACACCCTACCTTCTCCTCCACAAAATGAGCAGCCACACCAGCGATCTCCATGTAGTCATAAATATGAAATGGTGCTATTGCTGCTGCAAAATGGTTTTCTGCTGCAGTTTATCAGCTGCCATACAAACATAACCCTTTTCTTCTTTTTTTTTCAGCAAAACATGAGATCCCAAGAGATTTACCAACAGCCACCTCTATTATTGGGCTGCTGGGATCAGGGGGGGTTCCTCCATATTCCTGCTGAATGTCCAGAGGGGAAACTCCCAGCAGCTGGGCTGCCTCTCCCTGTGGTTTGCAGCACAGGGATTGCCCTCTACAGCTGTATTCCCATGGGCATTTTTAATAAAACAGACTTGTGAGGTGATATGCCAAGAAGCGTCAGCTTCAGCAAGCATCAAGTTTTATTTTTGCAGTCCTTAAGGCTTTAATGTACAGGACAAAAGACAGTTTGGGCTACGATTGCTCTGCCTTTCCTCCATCCTTTCTAAAGACAACATGCATGGGGCTGTAGTTAGGACTTTACACTGCCTGTGTAAAAGAGACTTGCAAAACCAGTTGCTGGGCAAGGCCCTGCTGAAGGGCATCAACCCAGGAGCTGCCCTGGAGCCTGGGTCTGTTCAAACCATTCTGGTTATTGCATGTAGGAAAGGCATTTAAATACACAGAGAGCATGACAAAAGGATGAGCTGTGGCCTCTTCATCAAAATTCAGGTCTCATCATGCCTGGGCACACTATTGTGACTGGAGAATTAGCAAAACAACACCACTTCAAGGATAAATGATAGTGAAGGACTCTGGGAGGTGGAAAGTATTTCAGACAGGTTGTCATTTTGTTTGTCTGCTCTTCCTCTTTTTCCCATGCCCTTATCTAACAGCCACAGCTAAAGGAAAGTCCTCTTCAATCCTCCTGACAACAGCTGGAGTTTAAGGACAAGAAGAGGAACAATAAGCTGGTCTCAGATTGCTCTTTCTTTGTGCAGCCTGCCCAGGGGCTGCCTCGTTTGCTCCCCTCTGCACCAGTCCATCCTCTGCGTGCCAGCAGGGGCATATGTTGTTTTTGTTAGGCAGTTACATAAACTGAGGGCCAGACAGATTAAGGATTTGCCTGTTCCCAAATGTCTGACTGCAGGTGGTTGTCTGGAAAATCATGGATGCAAGGACTTCTGCTGGTAGGGAGCTTTGTGTGGGTTCAGGGTGACATCCAGAGGGGCATTTGTGCAGAGGCTGTCCTATAGGTGAGGCTGTCCTGAGCAAGATCCATGTTTAGCTCCAGCTGCCCAAGCTCAGTCACATCCCTGGCCTTCAGAGCAGACCTCCACCCACTGCTGTGCACATGGTGGGCAGTGTAGGAATGAGCCTCCTGATAAACAGATCCCCTCCTTCCCCACCCTCCTTCTCCTCTAATCACTCAATAAAGGAAATGTCTGCCCCCCAGCCATATCCAGCCTGTTTTCCTTATACACAGGTGCCAAATCTGGGTCTTCTGCAAGTGGCATTTCATAGCAGGCTTCTAAGATCTCTTTTTACAAGTGCATCTTTGCAATGTGTGAGACATGGACAGCAAGAGTGTGAGGACCATCCAACGAGAAAACTGAGCTCAGAGAAACTCCTCAGCAATGCAGCCTTTGTGGGCAATTTCCCCTCTTTCCCCTGGCAAGAAAGTTGGGAAAAATCTTCCAATGAACCTTACCAAACCCTTGGAGAACTGTTGCTCAAGGAAAAAGAGATCAGCTCTTCCCCGTTGGCGAGATCTCCTCTGATTAACATAGCCTGAAACATTCCCATCTTTCCCACCTCACTCCTTCCCTTTCCCTAAAAAAGGGCAGCACTGGAAGCTTTCAGCCCCTCAGTGACACATTTGAGCACTCAAATGAGATGTGTGTTTGAGCAAAAGGGTGAAATAGAGCAGTAAGGTCAAAAACATTTGTGACATTAAAGAATAAAAAAAATTCCTTCCATGGATGATATCTTTCACTCTTTTAAATACTACAGTAACTCAGTATTTGGAAAAAAGAGTGAGAGACCAAAGGAAAAGAAACAAAAAAGAAAGGTTGCAGATTCTTAAGAAGGGTAAAGAGACAATGATTGTAAATAATTGAATATTTAGCCACCACCTTTCCAAATGATCTGTCTAATCCACTACTGGATAATGCAGAATAAGAGTATACTCACCATTTAGAACGATGGCAAACATTACCTTGATTAGTCTCTAGTGGCATTTCAGGTCTGGCAAGCAAACTTAAGGGATCTAAAAGCACACAGGAAGAATAGAGACGGGTGTCATCCTCTGTCATTTCCCTGCATCATTTTTCCACAAAAAGATCTATGTTTAGAAAGGAAGATGAAGGAAAATGCTCTTCTCTCACACACTTTCAAACTGAAGAAGTCCCCAGCACCTTCCTGGTGAGTATCTTTCTTCCACCACTGACCTTCTCAGGGAATCCTGCAGCTTTGTGCCACTGCTTTTCAGGAGCTCATCTGCGTCCTTCCCACAAGCCATGCCAAAGGCAGATTCCTTTCATCTGAGGTGGGAAAGGATCACCAACAGTAAGGGACTGGCTCTATCCCCAGGAAATAGGTGCTGGTACAGAGGAGTGTAACCAGCTTAGCATCAAATAGTGGGAACCAAAATTCCCAACAGAAATCACCCGGATGCGTCGCTTACCTGGCCAGGCAGTGGCTGTGTCCTCCCTCCTGCTCATGAGGCTGCCCTTAGCCATACGAGTCAGTCTCTGAAAAGTTGGCATTTTTTTCTCACAAGCTATCATTTAATGGCAGGAAAATCCTCTGTATCAGAGGAGGATTAGCGGAGATGGAAGAATGTGTCTGTCCTCTAAAGCTCCCAGAGCGAAACAGGGATTGCAGACGAACCAAACGGATGCTTTCTCCCCTCTGCCAACCTGCTCTCCCCCCACCATTAAAAAAAAAAATACAGTCCAGAATTGGACTGCTGCCATTCAAACAGTATTGCTGAAAGTCATTACTCTGCTCCCCATTATGTAATGGCAGAAGAGGTGGGAGAGTGCTGCCTAAATGGAATTAAATTTGGGGGGAATCACAGGCTTATGGCTTGCCTGCAGTGAGCTCTCCAAACAGACACAGCCTGAGATTCTCAACCCCCATGCACATTTTCCCAGCCCCAGCGTGGCTCACACACTACTAACAGGGTGCCAGTGGGCTTTGCTTCACTAGGAATTGCTCCTGATGGACAAGGAGACACCAACAGCATGGGAAAAGGGGTCAGCAAATACAGGGAGCTTGCACTGTGTATATGGCCTTGACAATAATAAATTCAGGCCTGTCTATGAGTGTGTTTTCCTTGTGATGCAGCAGCTGGTGCATGGAAATCATAAGGACAGCTTCTGTATGTGGTGATGTTTTAGCATTCAGGATGTGAATTGGAGTTTAAAGCCTTTTCTGACAGAATGATGATGGTTTCTTTGGAGAGTGGGGGCTGAATCAGTGAGTTATCTCAGCCTCCCATGCCTTAGGTAATTGCATTCACTGTGTCAGAGGGAAAAATAGCTCCACTCTTTATTTCCAAGTGAATTATTCTGCTTTATTTTTTTTTCCCAGGAAATAGAATACCTGATGAATTTATGCTTGATGCAGCAAGAAAGATTCAGCCTGCTGCTGCACAGCTCTTCCTGCAAATTAAAGCACCCAGCTACATCAGGTTTAGTTTGGTTTGGCTTTCCCTCAGTCTTAAGGCATCTGGCTGGCACCTCAGGAAATTTGTCTGTCCCAACAGTCTGTAAGCAGGCTGTGCTGGGGGCAGGCTGGAGGGCAGGGGGTGACCCACAGAGCACAGATTTTAGCTGAATTTTAGATTTTAAGCCTTTCCCCACCACCTGCTGTAATAAACCCTCCAGCTTTGCACTTCAGTGCTTTGCACAGCGCTGTTTTGCAGAGGAGGAAAGAGATTTGCAAAGCCATAGATGGGCACATTGCAGCCTCCAGCACAGAGCTGAAGCTGCTGGAGACCTTGTGGTGACAGAACCAGCACCAGCTGGGTCCTCACCAATGCTGGAGCAGCTGATGTCTGCCCTGGAAGCCCTGATTCCCATGGGAATACCAGGAAGCCACAACCTCCCTGACCACAGAAAGGAGATCACTGACCTTACAGCCATGAAGAAACTGAGAGGAGAGGAGAGGAGGAGGAAGTGCTATTCCCACTTCTTTCTTCCCCAGTATTTACAACAGCCTTATCAGGGGTGCCAGGAATGTCTCTCCCCAGGTGCACACATGCTGTTGGCAAGGGGGAAGGCAGAGGGCAAGGAGAGTGTGTGGGATTTGGGGACAAACTGGTGTCTGAGCAGCTGGCAGCTCCCCAGGGATTAGACCTGCAGCTGGGTTTACACAGCAACACTAAACCTGCTCTCAGGGAACGAGGAGGGGCTGGTCTGCACCACAGAATCTCACATTTCTGTGAGATGTTGGGGCTCCCCTGTGCCTCACTGGTCTTTTTCCATGTGCACATATAAGGGCTGGAGGGATGGGACATGAAGGACCACTGAGCCCTGGGAAGTGTTTCTGTGGTCAGCAGAACCACCTCCCTCAGAGGAGCAGCTTGCAGGACCGACACAATTCCAAATAAAGGGCACTGGGACCCTCTGCTATGCACAGCAGGTGGCTGGGGGCTGATGGGTTGGGGACTGGTGGGTTTGATAAACTGTGAGCACCTCAGCAGCCCCTTTGGAGCGGGGGGCAGTGGCAGTAGGTGCCTACTGAGCAATCAGCAGCCACGTGCGGATGAGGTGACACTGCCAAAGCCAGCTGCAGCAGCAGCTGGAGGAAGGCAGGCAGGGAACACCTCTGAGAGAGCTGCTGCAGCAGGCAGCCCCACCAGAGACCTGCACAGACAGCATTTGCTCCTGCAGGAGCTTCTGACAGCAGCTGTGCCATCAGCATCCACCCCACACACACAGGGCAGTGACTGCAGCCAGCCCAGCCCCACTCTGCATTTCCTACTGTGGCTGGAGGCCACACAGCTGGAAGAGCCCATTCCTGCCCCATCATGAGCCCTCCCAGCCCCAGCCTCAGCAGCCACACTGTGCTGGCACCCCAGAGCTCCTGCCTGCCCAGCAGCAGCAGCAGTTCCACAGCTCACAGCACTGTGAGCACCATCCATGGGCAGCAGCCTTGCACAGCTCCAGCCCCTGGCACAGAGCACAGCTCAGCCTGTGCTGGGGGCAGGCTGGGGAGATGGGACTGGGAGGCAGTTGAGGTCCCAGTTTCTAGGAAAGTCAGGGAGCATTGCCCTGTGAGTGGCTTCAGCAGGGCACTGCAGGTGCACCAAGCAGGGCACCTAGTGACCTCGTGAACTTCTGGTGACTCCTGACTCATTTCCTGATAACCCTTGGCCCCGAAAGGGCATGACAATGGGAGAAAGAGGCCTGAAAAGGAGAAGTTTGTTGTCATCTTAGGTAGGAAAGCTTAAACACCAGAGTGTACATAAAGGAGACCAGCATGTATTCTCTAAAGAAACAAACTTGGGCTCTAAACCACATCTCAGTATTATTTAGAGCATGACTTATGGCTGGTTAATGCTGAGGGTTGAGCACACTGGAGATGCTCAGTGTTGGGAAACTGCTGTGGCTGCCAGGCTGGAAGTACAGTGAGAAGCTACAGACTGTGCTACTGCAGCTCTCTGCTGTTAAATTTTTTTTGCCAAAAGTTTCTTCTCATGATCTATCCTGCTCTTTTTAATCTCTGGGAAGTCAGAGAAGCCAGAGGTCAAGAGAGCAGTGGAGGCAAGACTAAAGCTGCAGAGACATGCTGCCACTGAAAAAAAAACAATGGCTTTTTTAGTCTGATCTACCAAAAGAATTTGGAGAATTGAGTCCTGATTGAAGAAGCCTGCTCTGCTCCAGAGGTGTGTGCTGTGGGGACATAAATTTTGGCACAGCTTCACCAGCTGGCAGTGAGGACAAGTCTGCCTTGCAGGACAATCCTGTGTAGACTCGGAGCAAAGATTGCTTCTAAAAGTCCATGTCTTCATGGCCAGGGGCATTTCATGTGATAATGACTTAAGGACCTGTAGGTAGCTCCTATCTCTAATATACAATGATATTATTTTAAATTATTACTGGGGGCTGCTTCTTGTATATTAAAATATTCCTGTTATTTTCCAAATTTGTCCAAGAACAGCCGGTGGGAGTAATTTTACCTAACTGGAGGTGACAGCTCTCATCTCATCCACTTTTGGCACTTACCTGTGGGCACCACCATGGCCCTCAGCAGGGCTCACGTTCTCTGACAGGATGGCAAGACAGCCATGCAGCTTTGATGACACCAGTGCTGGATCAGCTGGAACACAAGCATTGCACATCCCAACGCTTCCAGCCAAGTGCTGCCTTCCCAGGGCAGTGAAGGAGCAGAGCTGCTGCCTGACTCTGGTGGCTGAACATCTTCACTGCCCTGGTTTTTATCTCTACCAGCTGCTTGCATTCATGGGACCAGTGCTGGGGGTGAGGTCCTCGTGCCACAGAGCGCCCGAGCCCCTCCTCCTTCCACAGGCTTTGGTTTCCTGAGCTCCTGTAACAGCAGTCACAGTGCACACTTCCCCTCATCTCACAGCCACAGCTTTGTCACACATCTGAGCCTTTCCTGTGCTCGTAATCACCAGGGTGACCTTTGGAGGAGCTGCCTCAGCGTTTCCCTGCAGAGCTCCTGTTGTCAGCACTGCCTGCGGGAGCAGCTTGCACACAGGATGGTCACACACAGCCCCGGCTGGGGTGAGTTTGGGGCAGGGAGGATGTGCCCTGTGGTAGGATCACAGAGCTGTGAGCAGACAGGATGGAGCAGTGTGGCTGTGCTGGGGTTTGCAGCTGCAGCACAGCGTGCACCACCACCAGAAATAGCCCTTGGTGCACGCGTGGTGTGGCTGCCCACAGGAGATGCAGAAGCAGCTGAGGAGCAAACCAGGACTCCGAGAGCAAGTAGCTGAAGAGCTTACCCTTGCTCAGAAGAGAGGACAGATTTCCATCTGCAGGCAGGGGTTTCATTTTTGTGTAGACTGAGGCCACCAAACTTTGCCCAGGCATTAAGCTCCAGTTCTCCTCACAGCAGGCTCAGCCCCCTCAGGGTGCTGTGCCATGTCCTTGCCAGCCTGCCTTCTCCTGCTCCCAGCCCTGCAGAACAGCAACACCATTTCAAGACACCCCTTGGCCAGAAGAGCTGCTCGTGTGGCTCCCCCCATGAGGTTCTCCCTGTGTATGCTCAGCAAGGAGGGCCTCAAGCTCACAGCACCATCCCCCCTGGGCCATGACCCTGCTGCACACACATGGGCTGCCATCACAGAGTGGTCTGAGTGGGGACAGGCTCCTGATGGACATCTGACTGTGGACTGAGAGCACCTCACGATGCCCAAACCCAGCCCAAGGGCACAGCAGCTGCCTGCAGGAGCAATCCTGCAGGAGGAATCTTCACCACCTGGTCTGTGAATGAGACAAGGCAGCCAGCAGCAGCACTTGGCAAGAAATAGCCACCAAAAAGCCACTTACCCATGTGGAAAGTGATGAATTAAAGCCACTAAAACAGCAAGAAGAAGAGAGGGTCAAGCTGGACACCAGACCTCACCCCCGGCCCAGGTGGTGCCTGAAGGCCAAGCCGTGCTGCAGGAGTGGCTCAGGAGCTGCAGCTGCAGCAGGAGCATTTCTGAAAGGGAACAGCACACTCTAGGGTAGGCAGCCTGAAGCAGATGCAGTGCACAGCAAACCACGGGCCAGTGCACTCATCTGTCAGCCCAAACCTCTGCCAGCAGCCCTGTAAGACATCACACAGACCCCACACAAAGAGGACAAGGAGCCCCGGGCATGGCCTCCATCAAGGTCACATTCTCCCGCTGCTTGGTAAGAGCAGGACAGAGATCCTCTCCAAGTCTGTCCACGCCACTGGATTTTACATCAGCTCACAAGGCCTCTCCCAGCCCATCCTGCAGATGTGGTTCCATGTCTCTCTCATGCCAATCAAACAGTAACATTTCCAGCAAGAAAGGAGCAGTGAGGGGCTGGGTGTTTGCCAGGGAAACAAGTTCCTGCTTCCTACTGCAGGACGTGTATGGATGCAGTGCTGAAAAACAACATCATTTGGGCTGCTGGTAACTCTCCACAATACCCAGAGCTGTCTTGGAGAAGGGGAGGGAAGCTGGGCTCAGATCCGTATTAATTAAAACTGAAGAGGGACTTGGATCCATGTTTCCCACATCCCCTCTGTGACTCTTGGCCTTGACTAAAACCAGCCAGCTGTGCTCAGGATTCTCTGTTCGGGAAAAACCACTGCTGTTGAAGCCTGAACCCTCCCTCCTGCCTTCCAGCAGCCCTTCTGTGCAGCAGGGCATCACCAGTGTCCAGAGTGCACCCCAGGAGCAGCTGCTGCTCCCATGTCACACAGCAGATGGGGATACCCAAGGCTGGCAGCACCTGGACCTTCAGCCTGCCCTCCCTGCTGAAGGTGCCACCTGAGGGTGGCAGTGATGTGGGCATGCACAGCCTGGGAGCCCTGGGGAGTGTGGGCTCATGCTGCATTTCCCAGCAGCTGGGGAGCAGCTCTGCTCTGCTCCAGCCCACCTGTGGGGTCATTTCTATCCTGTGGAATTGTGGCAGGATGCTTTCCCCCCAAGCCCCCTCATGCTTTGACCTGGAATGTGGTCAAGAACTCGGTGGACAATGTCCTATTTGCAAATCTGTCAGGGTGGATTGAGAAGGGTCCTAGGTGATGTTTTGGTGTTGAATTCAGCTGAAACTCAGTTGAGCACACCAAGCCCAAATCAGCATCCCAACAGCAAGGCAAATCTTTGGCAGATAAGCTGCTAAACTGGCCTGCAAGCATATGACTGACAGCTCCTTTACATTCTCAAAATCCAGTCCACTTTCCATACAAGAGGTTCTTCTGAGATACCCCTTCTTGAACAGTGTGTGGAGATTCTCCCTTGAGTGGGGACGCCCCTCAAGGTTGCTCCTCAATGTTAAGAGAAAGAGACCTGTCCACTCTCAGTGTTGGTATGGTGAATTACATCAATGTTTCTTTTTGCTACCTTTAATACAATTGCATTAATTTAGTGCACTATGTTATACTACATAACTATCAGTTGTTTCAGCTTTTATTCTGTGTAGTTAGTAATTCTGATTAGGATCTTTTGTCTAATCATTTGTCATAATAAATAATTTGTTTTACATAAACATATCTGATTTGCCATCTTTAAATCCTGAAGGTCAAAGTTATTTGGATTGTTGACAGTCTGAGGCTAAGATTGCATCCAGACACCTTCAGGCTCCTCTCTGAGAAGTTTAAAAAGCAAGGGGGTCCTCTCTGCACCTCGTGACTCGGTGACAGGGTTTCTCCAGTAAATTTTGTCTGGAGCTCCCTCTCCCACAGCCAGGACAGTGACAGGGAGCTGCTCATGTCCTGCTGAAGTCCCTGTGCCATGCTTCCCACAGGCTGCTGCCCAAGGCAGGGCTCCTGCAGTTCCTTGTGATCTCATGGGAAGCCTGCACAGTGCACACAGGAAGGCAAGGACATGGCAGGGAGTCCTGCTTAATTTCCCCTTAGTCCTCATGGGTCCATTCATCCTGATAAAGCTCCTCCAGCCACATAAAATGTGCACAATGAACTTGCACACAGCTCTGCAAACACCTTTTGAAACAGCCTTTCTGCAGTAAAGGCACAACAGGCCGTAAGTTATCCAAGCCAAGAGCCCTCCCAGGACTCAGCAGACACTTTATTTACCTCCTGGTAATTCATCTCTCCCACCTCCAGGACAGGATCTGTGCCACCTTCTCCCACCTGTATAGAGTCAATATTTGGGCGAGGTTCATCGCTTTACCTGTCTCTGCTTAACTCAGGCATTTATGTCAGGATCCTGCTCTGTAGCCAGGTCAAATACTTGGGAGAATGAACCACAAGCCCTGGAACTCTTGGACAAAGGGACCTGGTGGGCTACAGCTGGGCTGCAATGTGATTTTACTCCACCTGTCATGGCACTTTCCCCTGCCTGACTAACACTTCTGAATGCAATGTAACAAGGAGCACTGCAACATGCCAAGCAAACATAATTACCTGGTATAGATCTAAAATAGAATTCTGTTTTCGGTCAAAGCAGGCAGGAAAGGAGAAAGCAGCAGATCAGGAATAAACTTCAATACCACAATCACCAGCACATTAAACAGGAGGTTAGAGCAGTGTACACTCACAGATGATCTGGAAGATTTGTTAAATGAACTTATCAGGCCTTACTGGATATGCAGTGGCCGTGCATTCTCTGAATATATCAAGCCCAGATGTGAAACACATCATTGCTCCAGGACACACCAGAGGGGGATGGAGCAGTCACTGGGGTCAGGAGCTGCCCTGGGGTCAGGAGCTGTGGCCATTGGGAGCTGTCTGCCACCTCCACAAAGCCCAAGTGCAAGGGGTTTAGATCCTCCAGCTCAGCAATGCAGCTGCTCAAACATCCTGCCCCTGACCTATGCAGAGTTTTTGCACAGCTCTAAGATGATTAAAGCTAGCAGAGCTTGGGGGTGGCAGGGGAACACTGCCACTGCAGGAGATAAGCTCACATTTACACCCACATATTCTGCTTCCCACTCCTTCCCTGCTTGTGCTTTTATGGGCTGCTGACACCTCCTCCTCCATACCAACCCTGGGTGTTGCCAAAAAAAGCCCCCACAGCCACGACACGGCAAAGAGAGCAGATCCCCCACACTGGGGTGTATTTATGGACCACAGAAGTACAGCACTTCTGCTCATGCAAAAGCCTCTGCTTCCTGCCACCTGCAGAAGGCCTCGTTACCTGAGGGACAAGGAGTTCAGCACTTTTTCCTGAGACATCAAATTGATGGTGGCAGAGGATGCAGCTCCTCTGCAGCAGGGAAAGCCAAAGATGGACACTCCTGGATGGGATCAGTGCTGAGCCCCAAACCTAGCAACTGGCAGCTGGAAGGGAAAGCTCCCCTCCTGCAAGCTTGACAGCAGCAGCACCACAGCCTGCTCATCCCTTAGCCATTTCTGGGTTGCATCCAGGGATGCAGGCTGTGTTGGGCTCACAGGAGCCTGCAGGCAGGTGGGGAAAACCCTCTGTGCTCCTGTCAGAGAAGCTGTGCCACAACAGCTGGGCTCTAGCCACGAGTGTGTTTCAACAAGCTGTTGGAGCTACCGTGCCCAATTTGAGTTATAACAGAGAGCAGAGAGTGTCTGCCCTCCTTGTATGGTGGGAAACAAATAAATGAGGGGGCAAACGACACGTGTGGGAAATGAGATGGAGGGCCAGACATTCAGCATTAAAAATAAATCACACCAGGGCTCTGCAAGATACAACAGCCCTTGAAAAACCTGTGCTCCACCCAGAATTTCTCACTATGATTTTTATTTCCCTTTGATGTTAGCAGCACTTTCACACTTCCCTGAGCCTTACTGGGCTGTACAGGGGAGACACATTTGGTACATGAGGGTGTGGGAGGGGGAAGGAGCTGCTGGGCCACATAGGGCAGCACTTCTGGGGCATCCAAAACATCCTCTCTCTGTCCTTGGCACTCTGAGCATTCACTGAGGTGCCCTTGGTGACAGTCTCTACAGTCTCTCTCTCACCAGAGCAATGGACTCAGCAGTGTCACAGAAATGCTTCCCTTGGATAGGGAAAGCCTGCTGCTTGTGCTGCAATCAGTGCAGTTCAAATTTTGCAAAATAAAGAGCAGGCTGTGGAAGCAATGAATGAAAGCACCAAGCTGGGATGCTCTCAGACCATAATTTGGGGAAGATGCTCAGTGGGTGCCTTGACAGAGCATCCCATCGAGTCTGGGGGACCCTACCAGTGCCTCAAGCTGGCTGTGGGTGCTTGAGAGTGTCCAGCTGAAGGACTACAGCACCAGGCCTGAGCTCAGGGTGGGGACAAGAAGAGAACACACAACTCAATGGACAGCAGCATCCCCTGGGAACAGGATGAGCAGCCAGGGCACTGACACAGTACAGAGAGGTTGGCTTGTGCTAGCAAAGCCCAGATCTGGACACACCTTGCCTGAGACCCACACCTGCAGCTCTGGGGCTGTGCCAGGCAGCAGCACCTGTGTTTGGGTGGCTCTACTCACACTTGAGAGACCTGAAAAGGGTTAAGAGTATGCCAGGGAATGTCAGCAGCACGGATGCTGAAACACCCTCGAGGTTCTGGGCCTGAATGTTTGATCAGAACTGTTTTGTGAGTCCTAGGCAGCATCTGAAAGAGATCTAAACATTTTATTTATTCAAGCCTGGAACGTGCCTATCACTTTTCCATGACAAAGTCTGCGGGGTGTTTGCCTTCCGTCCCTCCTGCCTGTGCGTGACCAAGCAGCCCGGTCCAAGCAGCCCTGCCAGGCGTGGCTGGGACACTGCTCACAGCCCTGATTTCCCGCAGGGAGCCCAGCCCTGCAGCCTCCCCAGCAGGTGCTCTGAGCTGTGTCCCACAGCAGCCTGAACTGAGCCTTTCCTCCCCTGCCCTGGGAGCGTGCAAGGACAAACTGTGCGGCACAGCAAACCCTGCCCATCAGACACCAGCCCCAGGCTGGACAAGCAGCAGCTTTCTCAGTGCTTGCCTGGTGAGCAGCAGCCCCACGAGCAGCAGCCCCAAGCTTCAGGAGAGCCAAACCCACCCCACCACCTCCCCTAGAGGAGTGCCCCATCATCAGAAGGCATGGGCCAGCACCGATCAAAAAGGGACTATCCCCCCCTCCTGTTGAAACCATGACACTGTGCAGCAAAATGAATAATAATGCCAGCAACCTCTGGCAGGAACACACAGCGAAAGAGGAGATGGGATTTACAAATATTTCCGGGGGGGATGGCGGGGGAAGCATCGCCTTCTGTTTCCTGGGCAGCTTCTGCATTTTGCACGGAACAAATCTGTAGATAAAATACAGCAGCAGCCTCAGGGGCAGAGACAGAGCCCAGGAAAGTTCCCCCATCCACCATCACAGCTCTCACATGCAGCCCTTGCACTGGCACCCCTCTGGAGGCCACTGCCCCTGGCAGATAAAAAATCAACGCTCAGACACTTCGGGCACCAGCAGAGCAGAAGCTGCAAAGGTCACAGTTGTGCACTGTAATTATTTTCAGGGTGGGTTTTTTGTCTTTTGTCTCTCCCAGGCCCATGCAAAGTGCCCAGCAGAGGTGGGGAGGGAACCATCTCTGCAGGAGGTGCCGTGGGCTCTGTCAGACCCCTGACTTAGTCTGTGCTCCATCCATAAAAGGGGAAATTTTAACATTAGCAGGAGCATAAATCAAAAGGCTCAGGTGTCTCCTTTTGATCAAATCTGACATAAGGCAAGAAAGCTTAACTAAGGCCTAGAAGAACACTAATTATCAATGGAAAATTAACAGGTAATTTGTCTCTAATGTGAGCCAATAATTTCTAGGGGAGGAATTAATTAAATGGGGGAATTAAATCACCAGGAATTTGCGGAGTGACCACTTCTGATGGGATTCAGTTAATGAGCTATCTGATAATTATGTCAGGCTTCATTTTCTTTTCCTCTGGACACAAAGGGAGAGACAGAGAACAGGAAATTACTGCAGTGCTCCCTCTCCCAGGCTGCAGAGACACTTGCGCCTTGCTGAGCCTCACCCTTTAGTCCTGACAAAACCTGAGCAACCAGAAAGCAAAAGCCAAAAGCACACCACTAGCAAAACACTGTTAAAAAAAAAAAAAAAAAAAAAAAAAAAACAGAAAAAAAATTAGTAGGTGAGAGAGAAGGAAGTTTGCTTTATAGGAATGGCCCTTAGGACCACAATGCACCCTCGGGTCCGAACTTGGTGCCAAAGCAGCCACACAGTGAGCTGGAGTCAAAGTCCAGTGCCAGCGCCTCCAGCAAAGAGGAGGGGTCAAAGGTGAGTGTCCCGCCCTTGGGAACAAGAAAAGAAACTCATTTTGCTTTGGATTTCAGCCTTGCCCAAGCTGTTCCTCTGTCCTGAGCAATGGATGGGGCGTGCGGCTCCTCCAGGCTGGGTGCGGGCACACAACCTCGCTGCTGCCTAATTAGCCAGAGCAGTGCTAGTGCCAGTGCCAGGCTTTTAATGACAGCTCCGTGCCAGCTGCAGGAACAGAAATGATCTCCAGCCTCGCAGAAAGACAGAGCCGCATGGGCAGACACCACCTGATCTCTCACAAAGCCTGCCAGCACAAAAATAACTTCTCAGAAACACTCAAACACATCTGAACAAGCGGAATGAGCCAGTATCAGATCAGCACTTTGTAGCACAGGGCTGCAGCACTTGTGATCCAGCCTCCAGAGCCCTAAATTTGGATTTGCTGCATTCTTCAGACCAGTGTCTGAGCTCACCTACTTTCAGTTCTGCCAACTCATTGCAGCATTATGTGCCAAATTCTCTAACCACCCTCCTGGATGGAAAAACACAAGCATTTACACTTCAGGGCAGTGGCTGATTTGTGGCACCTACAATGGGTGAGGCTCTGCAAGTGAAATAATATGTTGAGATCTGGGTGGAACTGAGCAGGGAAGTTACATTATCCACGTCATACACAGGCTGTGTTTTTCCACATGCGAACTGAGGTCAAAGGAGGCAAACTGAAAGCAAATGGAATTCACTGCTGCTGATTTGTAAAACGATTCTCCAAGTATCAGGATTTTCCCTGGTACTGCACATACTTGCTGCAGTAACACAAAGTGATAGTTCTGAGACGTCTTGCAGTTTGTGCCTGGATGACAACAATAATAATAATAATATTAATAATAAAGCTAAACATGAGACCTGTCAGCGCCTGCTAGCCAGTTCACATTACAGAATAAAATATTCTCTCCTGGAACATGCTGGGTCTTATGCAGATTCAACTTTTCTGGGTGACGCAAATGCTGTAAAAACAACTCTGAGTCATGGAATAAAATCACATAATTCCCCAAAGCCAAATAAGGACAGAATTCAGCCCACACAGCTCTGACTTCCCATTTTCCTGGTAGTAGCAATTTTGTTTATCTTCCATTGTAAACGATACCGTTTCCTTGCTCTCACAGAAAATCTTGCATTTCTCTCACTAAAGCCACAGCTGGTGTAAATACTGGTATTGTAAAAAATAAAGTAACCTGCCAGTATGTGCAAGGCCCAGTGTAAAAAGCCCGTTATGTGCTCTCTGGGACTGGCTTTGCTAATTGGTATGAAGTCTTTATGAGGAACCTGGAAGGCATTTTCCCAGGCTGCCTGTAGTTTTATTTTGATATATTTTTCACCAAGAGTTCATTTACAGCCCATTAGAGCCAG